CGGTTGATATCGCTCTGTGGGCCGGGCGCCACCATCTTCAGCGCAGCATCACGGACTACGATGGGCAGACCGAAGGACAGATCGAGCATGCAGTGCTGGCAGCAGTTTTTGAGGCGGGCGCATGTGAGGCAGATGTTGGTTCGCTTTTGTCGCGCGGTACGGTCGGCCTTCCAGCGGAAGATGGTGAAGGGTCGCGTGCAGATCTTGCACTCTGCGCCGTAGTCCTCCTTCAGCATCTGCACATATGTGCTATCCGGCAGGCACTTCTCGCAGACGGACGGAAAGTCAGTAGTTTCCCACCCCGATCCTACAAAAGTTAGTGCATGCTACGCGCAGTGGAAAAAGACATGACGTACGGTTCAGGTCGCTCTTGATTTGCGGCGGCATGGTGAGGCCTGCTGTGTAGGGTGTGCGACAGTGGCTGAGTTTTGAATGTAATCTCGCGACTTCGCCGAGCGAATCTGGGGACGTCGAGTACGCGTAGTGGGGCGCGGTGGTTGTTGCGACAGATGGTATGGGAGTGACGGTAGAAATCTAGGCACTACGCTATACGCCTCTTACGGTCTTGGCTTTCACGCGCTCGGGTGGCGACGACCGACCGCTAGCGCTGTTGACCAGGGCCGCGTACAGAGTCGGTCGTGATTGGGCGACGCCAGTTACCCCCTAAGAAATTCAAGTCCCAATCTCCTACCCATACCGCTCTTTCCTCTCCGGGGTCGTCTTTATAAAGTTTCAGGGTCCTGTCCTCTTCGAATTGTTTATTCTACTATCCGTTTCATTCACTTCACTCCCCGCATAACCCCATATCACTCTTAATATCCATCATGTCTCCCATTGCGCTCGAAAAGGAAGACCATTCTCGCGATGCCGAGTTCAACAAGGCCATGCACGGCAAGTCTGCAAAGGCTCGCGGTGGTATGACTGCCATGTTGCAAAAGGACAAGGCTGCCCAGCAAGCCGCTGTCGACGAGTACTTCAAGCATTGGGACAACAAGGCCGCTGGCGACGAGACTGAGGAGACCCGCAAGGTATGCATATGTGGCATTGTTGCATACCGTGTTTACTAACAGACCCAGGAACGACGAGATGAATACGCTACCCTCACAAGACACTACTACAACCTCGCAACCGACCTTTACGAGTACGGCTGGGGACAATCTTTCCACTTCGCCCGCTACGCCTATGGCGAGTCTTTCTACAAGGCCATTGCCCGCCACGAGCACTACCTTGCCCACAAGATGAACCTCCAGGACAACATGCGCGTCTTGGATGTTGGCTGCGGTGTCGGTGGTCCCGCCCGTGAGATTGTCAAGTTCGCTGGTGTCAACGTCGTTGGATTGAACAACAACGACTACCAGATCGAGCGTGCCACTGCCTACGCCGAGAAGGAGGGTCTATCAGACAAGCTCAAGTTCACCAAGGGTGACTTCATGGTACGATATACTTCCACACCCTGAGTACCACTCACTAACTCGTCCTAGCAAATGTCTTTCCCCGACAACTCTTTCGATGCCGTCTACGCCATCGAGGCCACTGTCCACGCACCATCGCTCGAGGGCATCTACAGCGAGATCTTCCGCGTTCTCAAGCCCGGCGGTGTCTTCGGTGTCTACGAGTGGCTCATGACCGACAAGTACGACAACGACAACCCCCACCACCGCGAGATCCGTCTTGGAATCGAGATTGGTGACGGTATCTCGAACATGGAGAAGATTGAGGTCGCGCTCGATGCTATGAAGAAGGCCGGCTTCGTGATGGAGCACAACGAGGATCTGGCAGACAGGGACGACCCTTACCCGTGGTACTGGCCGCTCTCTGGCCAGCTGAAGTACATCAGCACCATTGGCGACATCCCCACCATTCTCCGCATGACCAAGGTCGGACGTGGCCTCATCCACAAGTTCGTCGGTGGTCTTGAGGTGATCGGTCTCGCCCCCAAGGGTACCCAAAAGACTGCCGACAGTCTTGCCCTCGCAGCCGACTGCCTTGTTGCCGGTGGCAGGGAGAAGCTCTTCACACCCATGTACCTTATGGTCGGAAGGAAACCCGCCGACGCATAAGTTTTCAGTTCTCGCCCTTTGCATTAGACTTCTCTTCGCATCTAGGACCTTGTTGGTCTGCGAGCTATTCCTTCGATATAGGAGCATCATCTCCTGGCATTTGCATCACGCGCATTGGAGACGCGCATATATACTGTAATATTTGGAAGTAGGGCACGGTCTAGGGACGGTCATGGTAACGCGAAATGTGGTGCTATAGAGAATAGAAGAAGTAATCCTCATCTGCATATTCTGATCATTATCGTGCAATTTGCAAGCGACTAGTATCACTATCCAGCAGGTGCAATGTGAAAGGGCTGAGCGTCTGGTGAAAGCGACGTTGTTGAGGCGGACCATCCAGGGACCATCCAGACGCACGTCGGGTGTTCTCGCTATAGTGTGGTCCCTGCTCGAGAGCTTTGATCGCTAGCGCCGGCCCCAACGACTCGGATCTTCGCATCAAGAAATTGTCCAGCAAGCCCCAGCAACCACCACAAGCCTCAGCGGCCATCACTCGCCCACGGCACTTCCTCACCACACCTTCACCCTCACACACACCCCACAATGGCTGCTTCAAGGCTCCTCCGACCCGCCTCCCGCCTCGTCTCGGCGTCGCGGCCAGCGCCCGCCTTCCGACCAGCTTTCCGCGCCGCAGCCATTACACCGTCAATTGCGAGGAGAGGATATGCGTCGGGCCAGAAGGAGATGACGGTGCGAGAGGCGCTCAACGAGGCCATGGCCGAGGAGATGGAGCGCAACGACAAGGTTTTCGTGCTCGGAGAGGAAGTCGCGCAATACAACGGAGCGTACGTCCCACCATGAAGAAGAGAGATGTCGTATCTGCGATAAGAAAGAGGAGGGTCCAATTGGGCAGAGAATATATCGCAGGCTATACACAACGGAATATCAATAGACGGTGCTGACTGAGCCACAGCTACAAGGTCACAAAGGGCCTGCTCGACCGCTTCGGTGAGAAGAGGGTAATCGACTCTCCCATCACAGAGTCAGGTTTCGCCGGTCTGACCGTCGGTGCTGCGCTCGCTGGTCTCCACCCCATTGTGAGTTTCTCAGCCTCCATGTCCAAAAAGCAAATCTGACAGCGACGACAGTGCGAGTTCATGACCTTCAACTTCGCCATGCAGGCCATTGACCAGATTATCAACTCCGCCGCAAAGACCCACTACATGTCCGGTGGTATCCAGCCCTGCAACATCACCTTCCGTGGTCCCAACGGTTTCGCGTCTGGTGTCGCTGCCCAGCATTCGCAAGATTACACTGCGTGGTACGGAAGCATTCCTGGATTGAAGGTTGTTTCGCCATACAGCGCCGAGGATGCCAAGGGTCTGTTGAAGGCTGCTATCCGCGACCCCAACCCGGTCGTTGTTCTCGAGAACGAGTAGGTCACAACAGTCGCAAGACGAGAGACTGTGTACTAACATCCATAGACTTCTGTACGGTCTGTCCTTCCCCATGAGCGAGGAGGCCCAGAGAGACGACTTCGTCATTCCCGTAAGATACCCCGCCATCATCCCACTCTATTCTCATACTAACAGACCCGCAGTTCGGAAAGGCCAAGATCGAGCGCCCCGGCAAGGACCTCACCATCGTCACCCTCTCTCGCTGCGTCGGCCAATCCCTCGTCGCCGCCGAACAACTCAAGTCCAAGTACGGCGTCGAAGCCGAAGTCATCAACCTGCGCTCCATCAAGCCCCTCGACGTCGAGGCCATTGTCAAGTCCGTCAAGAAGACCGGCCACATGCTCTGCGTAGAGTCTGGCTTCCCATCCTTCGGTGTCGCGTCTGAGATTATGGCGCTTACTTGCGAGTACGCCTTCGACTACTTGGAGGCGCCCCCTGCCCGTGTCACTGGTGCTGAGGTGCCCACACCATATGCCCAGAAGCTTGAGGAGATGAGCTTCCCCAGTGAGAGCTTGATCGTCGACTATGCTGCTAAGCTCCTCAGGGTATAAATGGAGTATGGAACGGAAGAGGATAGCGTAGTGGTCTCAGCGTTCTGTGTTCAATCGACACATTGCGTTTGATAACTATGTGGATATGAAAGATTTGGTTTTGGCGAAGGAACCGGATTATGTATGATTCAGATGGCCAATTTTCGGTTGAGGTAGACGCGTAGGTGCTGGTTTAGAGCATTTTCGATTGCATGTACAAGTATTCTATTGCAACTCCATCTAACGATTTTGAAACAATTCGGATCTGGGGAAGGTGACTGGAAGTGATGGTGTGGGCTTTGGGTGAGAGGTGAGAGGGGATGAGAGGTAAGACGCTGACATTGGTAGGGCTTTTGCTGCCTTGGTTCTAACTGTTTACCATCTGTTCTCTTCTATTACATGCTGCTTTCGAGGCTCGGGATGTTAGTACCTCACCGCTTTTCTTTGTCGGTGAGCATCTGAGATTCTCTCACCTCGAATCTGGAGGACTAGTGGGCGTGCCTTCTGCTCATATGTCTACTTCTTCACCCAAGTCACTTTAGTTCTTTCTTTCCTTCATATGCTCTACTCGCTCATTCAACGTCATGCTTCGACGGAATGCATTACTGCAGCTCACGGTTCTCACCAGAGAACGGCATAGATGTCTGCGACGTTCAGGAATTAGGCTAACACTGCTATGCCGCTCACATCGAGCTGCGCTTATGCTCTTGACGAGCAAGTATCACGTTGAATGGTCCAAATGGGAATCTAACGGCACGGCTACTGGCATGAGAAAGAGCAGGGAAGGTTGCGGCTCGCTGCGCGCTGGTTATGGAATGAACGATGAGGCTGCTGGTTTTCATCTTCACTTTCATCGCTGAATCCGCATCTCACGATAACAGCTGCCGCGCGGCCCAGGAGCTTCTGCTGGCACTGCGCTCTTCGTGCCGAACGCTACGCCCTGACACGACAACACGACATTCTGCACACACGCAACGAGTACACACGGCGTCTTCGCTGTCAGTTCTGGCAAGATGCCGCGCAAGAACTACACTTCAGATTGGCTCGGAGACGAAGATGAGCTCATGGACTACTACGATGAAAACGACTCTCCAGCCTACTGCGAAGACGAGGAGTACTTCTATGACGGTCACGGCATGCGGCACACCTCTGCGGATATGCGCTCTCACTGCACAGATAAACCTACTTCAGGCAAGGACGTTCATGGTCATTCCCACAGCGAGAGCCAGGGATTGGTAGAGACTGATCAAGCTTGTGTTCCCAACGACAACCAAGCACAAAACGAGCCTGAAGTGCCTGACGTGCTTCCAGAGCCTCTCGCCGCGATGCTAGCCGGCCTACGACAGCTCCCTACGGATGGCTATCGCCCAAACCCACCCGACGCCCGTTACACCTATAGGGATGACGAATATTCCAGCGAATTGAATGAGATGTTCTCCCGTTTGGACATTCTTCGCACGCTCGGTCCGGATCCGGTGCGTTATGGCTACGACAGTGCGTCGAGCGAGCCCGAGGAGAAGGAGGTAGTTGCTGTATGTTTACTCGCAATCTTGCACAAGTGCAAGACTAACATTGACATACTAGGAGAGCCTAGAGTCGATCGAAACGGTTCCGGTGGAAGATAGAGCACAGCTGGCAAAGACCAATAGAGACGGTATCGCTGGTTGTGAGAAAGCTAAGAGCGACAGCTGCACCAAGAAAAACGACGCGATCAAAGACGCACACCAATCCTTCAACGCCGAAATCGAGTCAATGAACGAATGGTACGAAAACATCAAGGCAGAAGAAGTCATCCTGGGCAAAAGAATAGCCTTACACGTTCGCCTGCCTACGAACCAGGTCGTCACTCCAACTCATAACGCGCTTGTCGAGGAAGATGTAAAGGAAATGATGCTCATCGCCGACTCGTTCAAGGCTGTCAAGACAAAGAAAGCAGATATCCGAGCGACTCTAAAAGCCCGAATTGAGAAGGCCGAGGAGGTGTATGACGGAGAGTGCGCCGCATGGGACCAGCAGATGGTGTGCCTTCGCAACATGGCTGAGCTATCTGGCATTGAGCTAGATGGGGAGGAAGCGGAAGATGATCTCTTGGACGAGCGGGTAGCCCAAGTCATCCGCTTCCGATCGTCAACGCCAGCCCAATCTACTTCACACGCCCGAGAGCCTGCGTCCAGCCATGCCCGATCGAAGCCAAGCACTGCCGCAAACGCAGACAGACGCCAGAAGGTTAAAGCAGCGAGCGACACAGTTCAGAAGGACTGTTCCAACTGCAGCCAATTGCGAGAAGAACTACGTATCGTAAGTACAACAGATCCAAGCTTGCACTCCTCTAATTACAAAGCAGACCCTCGCAACAATAACCCGCCTCCAATCCAAGGCCCCAATCCCCAACCTCCGCAAATTCGTCAAGCACGGCGAGCGAATCCTCTCCGAGCTCTCAGCGCAACGCGCCGCAGCCGACGAAACCTTCGCCAAAGAACAACAGAACGAACTGCGCTCCGCAGAGGCAGCATCTGAAGACCTTGACAAGGAGTACGCAAGGATTAAGGCCATCTACATCGGCATCGGCGATCTCTGGGAGCACGAGAATGAAGAACTTTGGAATAAGACGTATGACTTGTGTCGAGCGGAGCTGGTGCGCATCAAGGAAGAGCAGAAGGCGCTTGAGAACCATAGCGCTAGGGATGAGGAGAAAGTGGTGAAGAGGCAGTGGGATGGTGAGAAGATGTTGATGAAGCAGATCAAGTACTACGAGGCCATTCTGAAGCTGGCGAAGAGTGAGGTTGTTAGTCGGTGGGGGGAAGTTGGTGGGCTGGAGGACTCTGATGCTGAACCTGAGTCTGACTAGAGACTGCGCGACTCGATGAGCTGATGAGGGCGCATAGCAGAAGTTAGCACCATCAACACGATGTCAGCTCTACATGTGCATAACTGTAAAATCGCTTGTGTGTGTCTTCGCGTTCACCTTCACTTTCCACCGGGCAGTTTCGCGCTAGTCGCTCCTGCTCTTTTTGGAAGGCTCTCTGACTCCAACCAACACTACGCGACCACAACACTATCCGAGATCAATATTACGGCGACAACTGCGACAACCGCGCCAACTCACTATGTCGTCGGACGCCATCATTAAAGGCCTAAAGCAAGGCAACGCGATTGAAATGGCCTCGCTCGAAGAGGTGAAGGAGGGAATGAGCTCTGTCATTGATGGACTGCTGAAGGAATGCTACAACCGTAGCGATGCGTTGAGCGATCTTATGGAGAAGGTACAACTGGTACGTATTGCTTGATTGTGGTCGTTCACAGACCATGGACTGACGTTAACACATAGGAAAGCTCGAGCGCGGCGGCCAAAACCATGACGGCAGAACAAAAGACCCAGCTTACGAAAATCATTCAAGACGCTATCGGAGACTGCGAAAAGGCTATCCGTGTCAATGATGATAAGAAAGCGAGAGATCACGATCAAGCGGCGGCAACATTCGGAGCTGAGAAGGAAGTTTTGGACATGATGCGCGCTCATGGCATAGCTCAGGAAGATCTGTACCAGCGAAGACAAAAGGCTCTTTATGAAAAGCGCAGAGAAACCGTTGACGATGAGCTATGCAAGATCAAGGAGGAAGATAAGATCATGCTCTTCAAGCTTTGCGACTTTCATAAAGACGCAGGATCAAAATTCCTAGAAAGGAGGAGGAGTCGCAGAGAAGAGATCAACAACGGGCATGAGGCAGCCCAGAGTGCACTGAGGGAGCAGATCGCAAGCCTCGAGCGCATCGCTACCATTGCGAAGATTGATCTCAAAGCTACAAGCGAGGGTGATATGTCAGCTAGTGGTATACCATTCGACAGAGCCCGGTGCGGGACTACAAGTGAGATACGTTTCAGATCTCGCGCTGTTGATGGTCATTTGGACCAAGGTTCTATCTACAACCCGCTGGCCCGTGTCGTTATGGGTCCTGGTCGTAATGGCTTTTACATGAGAGACAGCGAAACCTGAGTTATAGAGAGCGGGAGTATGGCTCTCACACTAAACGGTTGCTAGCGGGTTGCGCCCAGGTAGGATGAATCTTGGAAGTCCTCTATGAGCAACGGGGTTATTGAGATTGGTTCATGTGCAGACCATGCATAGAGTTACACGGTCGCCATCAAAGCATGCTCCCATAGTAAAAGTAATTGAAACGTCAAGAATACATCTCCACCGTGCTCATAATGTGTTGAGGTTGACACGATGACATGTCCATGGACCCTCGATCAACCATATCCTCTGGTTGACGGCGTCCCCACCCACGCAACCAAACTTTACATGCCGTCGATGGAGATGTTGACGTTGCACTTGACAGCTGTACTCAGGAACACCTGGTGCTCTTCTCTATAATCTGGCTTTCCATCTCTAACAACAAGAATATCGTGAGGCATTCGCCCAGTATGCCCAAGATGGGTTTGATCAGTACGGTAAGTAGCTTATATAGCTTACCAACATTGAAGTACATCTGTCGCATTCACATCACGTCTACTGTCAAGACATGCCCTCGCACCGCTGTCTAAGAAAGCTACATGCTAACAAACCAACAGATTCGAAAGCGACACCAAGAACGCAAAGACAAGAAGAAGGCAGTTCGCCAGACCGCACAACGGAACGAGCAGTCCCAATCCGATACCGCTGAACCACATATCGAACCCACAACACCTACCCCAGCCCAGCATCTCCCCTTCACAGGCCCCACGCGATTCTTCTCCCTCCGCCGCAAACGCGGCGTAAGCATCGGCATGTCCACCTACGAGCAACTCCCCGACGGCGTAGAACCCGCACTCATCGACCACTCCTGCCACCTAATGCAACATCCCAGCGGCGAAGAGCTACCCCGTAAATCCCCCTTCGCCACACCCCCACACGCCGACGTAGCCACAACCCCAAACCAAGACACCAGTCCCAAAACCTGGCTCAGCCGCGTAGGCGGCTCCCTCCGCCGCAAGCCAAGCGGCATACGCTCAGCGTTCTCCTACACACTGCCGCGGAACTGGAAAACCAACAACAACAACAACAACAACACCAACAATACCGGTGTCAGTGCAAAAGCCCTCGCAGAGACAGCGCACGAGTACAAAAAGTCCCAAATCCAACGTCTCGATCCCAGCGCCATCGACGCCGCCAACGACGACGGCCGTGGCCGAAGTCCCCTCCCGCACCACTGGCGCTCGGAGCAATCCAGTTCCTCGGTCTCACACTCACGCGATGGAGTCGTGAACAGGATGAGCGATACTACTACTAATACTACCATGGGAGGAAGCGAGATGGGGGATTGGATTGACCCGGATGAGGAGACGAGGGAGCAGGAGTTTGAGGATTGGATCGTGCATAATCGGTTGTTTGTTGAGGGGGAGGGGCTTGATGGGGCGAGTAGAAGGGTGTCGAGGGTGAGTGCGGTGTCGAAGAGGAGGTATAGTGATTATTAGGGGAGGGGTTGGGGGATACGATGAGATTTGGGCGACGGTGGGGTAGCTGGTGGTGAGGTTTGAGGTATACGTGGGTGCGCGTCTTGATGTGAGCAGCGGGCATGTGTGTTCCTGGGGTCTACGTGATGTTGTGGTGAAGGTGAAGGCGAGCTACAACTGGATCCCTGTCTTTTGTCAGCTTATTGCTATTGAGATCTTTGTCAGCGTTCCGGGGTGAAGGCGAGGTTTTCATGAGTACGCTATTGTTTAGTTGGTATTGTAGAAAGTAGAGGTGAAGGCGCATACGTACCTATTGTAACAATAGTAGCTATTGTCAACCGTCTCATCTTCGCGCAGAAGCCAGTACTATATAAACAGCCCATCCGCCTCCGACTCTTGCTCTTTAGCAAACACCACACCTGCTCATTTTCAAGACATTTCCAACTTCCCTCTTCCCACCATCATCACCATCATCACCACCACCACCACCACCACAACAGCAACAATGCTGTCCCCGCAGAACAAGCTGCGCATCTTCCTGAGCCTGGTGCTCATCACCATCTTCGCCGCGAGCTCAGATGAGCTACGCATCGCCATCGGCACCCTCTTCTCTTGGGCCCTAGGCCACGTCCTCATCCGCCGACTCTCCCTGTCGATCTCCTTTCGACAAGCCCACAACACCTACATGATGGTGTCGTTTGGCCTGCTGGCGGGCCTAAACGACCCATTTTGGGAAAACACCTTCGGCCGCCTCCTTGACCTCTTCTTCGACCGATGCCGCTTCGACCCAGACGTGCCTGGGTCGGGCTTCACAGACTGGCACGAAACCTTCCGCCGCCGAAAGGCATACGAGATCGATCTCGTTTGGCAATTCCTCCGCGCCGCGCTCTTCTGGTCCTTCGTCGCCGTTTTCCTCGTCGTTGCCGTTCCGCTTTTCCTCTGGTTCACTCAAGAGAGTGAGACGACGAAACTGGAACGGGCCTTCGAATACATGAGGGAGCACCCCGGCGAGGGTCCTCCTTGGCTGCGCAAGCAACCAGAGGCCACAGTGGTGTCCAAGAGGGACACAAGATACAATCGCCTGAGCAGCGAGCTCATCTTCGTGTGTGGCCCTGGTGGTGGGCTGGAGACGGTGATCGATGGCGACATCGAAGGCGCGATCTCTCGCCGGCGGGCACTGAGGCCGAGGTTCGCATGAGCGCTGGTCGCCATGCTGGTGGGGTTGTGGTTAGCGGTGGGCCATCTTGACGCTGGTCGTTGGGATGGTCAGGGTTTCTTGTTTTGTTTTGTTTTGTTTGAAATTGGGTTCGAGTGTTGTCGACGGCGGGCTGTCCTGGCGCTGGTCGCTTGGTAGTCCAGACCGGTCGGTACTCGTTATGTAGATTGGTGGGTGGGATAGTATTTCGGGCTCATGTCCTATGTCCTATGTATAGATAGGTTTGTGAGGCCCAGTCTGGCTTGTCCTGATTGCAGTCTTCGAATGCATCCTCCTTCCTTCCCACTAGAACGTTCTCCTCAAGTCTGCGTGAAGGCCTCTACCAACCTCCTCTTCATACACAAATCGTGTGTCTGGACTCATAGGGTTGTGATTGGTGGGGATTGGCATTTGAATTGCTTCGCATACGTGCTCCAGCAGATCCGGAAGTAGTTCATTGACTTTCGCTAGCAGCAAGGGTATGAACTTAGACGAGCCGCCCGGTAGCTTTGCTATCAACAGCATCAACTGGGTCAAGTAATCTGGGGGGCTGAGTTCGGCATGTGATGCAGACTGAGGCACGAAATGAAGAACGTCAGCTAAAGCGCAGGCTATGTCGAATACCTTCTCCGTCTAAGGTTGTTAGCAATGAGACAAGCTTGCGGCTGAATGACGTACCATGCCGACGCCATGTATTTGCAGACTCTGAATAGGTAGCTTCATGGAGAGAATGGTCAAGTCTTTGCCAACCAGAATGGGGTATCTGAATGTTAAGCAATCGTAAACAGACTCTGTGGAGAGAAACCCGAAGCGGGGAAACAGCTCCCATAGTTTGATCTGTAGCCAGAACTGCGATATGCGAGCATTTGCAATCTCTTCGTTCGAAAGTTCGAGATCAGTGGGCAGCGCGGTGCGAACATCGTTCTCGAGCTGGATTAACCACTCTTTACTGCAGTTTTGCGCAGCACCGTTCCACACTGCGAAAAAGACTTCATCGAGCGGTCGGAAGACTGATGCGAGGTGGAGCAAGCCAAGATCATCATGACCATCGAGTGGGTAGCTTGAGGAAGTGACAGATAGTGTGATGGGCCGATTCCTACGAACGCCATGCGCTCTAACAACTAATAAGCAATACACTCATTACGATGCCCATGGGTGCTGCGAATCGTCATTGTCTTCGCTCACAGGTGAAGTTGGATAGACGAGAAAGGGACAAATGGTGTCATAGTGTCAGAAGTGCATATGATGAGCCACGATGCGTCAAGGTGGCTGAACAGATGTGGGAAAGACGGAGAGTATTTGGCGTACCTTTCTGACACTACCAGGATCCAAAACAGCCGTTTCCTTGTCTTCATGTCGAACCAATCCCTGTCCTCGTCTTTGAGCATCATAAATAAGGTAGTTGCTTCTCTCAAATAGAACCATGCTTGACGATAGTCGTCTCGGCCAGCGTAAGCTCCGTACAGAAAGAAGGAGGTATAAACTGATCGATGTTCGAGCTGCGTAATCCTATCTCGCTGCAGCGAGAGTAATGTCTTATCTAAGTAGCAGTTTTGTGAGTCCATTTGTGCAGACTGTGTAGATCCGCAATTGGCATTAGTGGAAGCTTCCGCAAAGTTTGCCATGTACGCGCAAAAGGCATATATGAGCTGTCGAGATGTCGGCGAAGTCTGCATTTGCGCGAACTCTTCTCGCAGTTTTTCGGCCGGTATGAGAGCTACTATCCTGTATATGCGCTCTTCGTAGACGTCGACCAACGTTTTGAAGATTTGCCTGGTCAATTCCACAGCGGGGGTAATGACCGCGTTCGGGGCAGCATTCTGCGGATCGACGACGTCGGCATCGTTATGGGGTATCGCTCTCAACTCGTTGAGTACGTTAGCCCTGGAACCTGTGCGACCTCCTTGACCCCGTGGTGCGTTGAAGGTGCAAGCTAGTTTTGCCGATAAACATCCTGCGCAAGGTTGCGCGCCATTGCACTTGGTTTTGCGGCGGCGACACGGGTCACATGCCTTTGCAACTTGTTTCCGGTAGACTGTTCTAGACACGTTGTTCTGCATCAAGTTCGAGCGTCTGCGTGGGGTTCATGATGTTGATTAGAGATGTGAGAAGGCGTGGTGAGAGATGGCCTCAGGTAGCCCGCGGGCTAGTGAGACGCGTCGCGTGGTGCCGAGGCTGCTTACGTCATGCGAATACACTAGTCTACAAGAAGATGCGCGTCGCCGAACAGGAAAGACATGGCCAACACAAACAACCATCTGCGAACATAGCTCGTCAGCGTTTGAGACGCGTAAAACTACTACATCAGCACCGCAATTATGGCTATTCTCACTCCTTCCATTCCGAGCCCACGGCAGCCTTCTCATCCGCGACACGCCCATGCCCATATGGGTCGACCTGCGTACTAGCAAACTTCCGAGCGCTGACCCTCTGCTCGAATAACATGTCTAGCTCCCCATACGTCCGACCCTTCGGTTCTGGGAGCCTGAAGTACACCCACACCACAACGCAGCCGCAAGTACCTGCCCAGAAGAACGCCGTCTTCGCTCCCCAGGCCCAGTTGGCATCTCCAAGCTGGTAGTTCGTCAGTACGTTGACCACAATATTCGAGATATTGTACAGCGCTCGCGCGAGTACGATCGTCTTGGCCTTCAATCTTGTGGATGACATCTCCGACACGATTGAGTATGTGACGGGACCGATCGTGAAGTCGTATACGAAGACGAAGAAGATCAACACCGCGCCAATAGCCCAATTGGAAGCTTGGGTACCGGCAAAAGAGCATGATCCGACGATGATCAGGATAATGAAGAGTGTGCAGCCGCCGGAGAAATGGATCGTTCGTCGACCGAACTTCTGCATGAGATACCACGAGCCAGCAGTACCGACGAGGCCAAGGGCGAGTGAGATCATCGACATGTTGAAAGATTGAACGGTGGGAAGTCCTGCCTTCTGCATGAAGTATGCGCTACTTGATGTTAGCCCAGAGTTTCTACTGACTTCACGTTCAATACTGACAAGTAGCCCATGATGTTGGTCCCGCAGATTGTCTGAGCAATCCAGGTGAAGCATACGATCTCGGTTCGTCGGAGATCGGTTCCCTTGAACAGGTCCGTCCATCGGGTGCCTTCCGACATGTTCTTCTCCATTTCGTTGGTATGCTCAATCATGGCAATGGTCTCGTCGGCGTTGAAGTTCGGGTCCTTGTCTGGCGAGGTCAGACGAAGCAATGCAGCTTTGGCGCCTGCCTTGTCGCCTCTGCGAACATGCCACCACGGACTTTCAGGTGCAAGAAAGACACCGACCATGATCGGTATGGGCCAGACCCATTGCACGGCAAAAGGGATGCGATATGCCCATTGGTCTGAACGTTGGACGCAGCCGCGGTTTACACCTGCAGCTATGAATTGTCCCATCACCCAGCACCTGGAAGGTCATCAGCATTCGGTCTCGGAAAAGGTGAATGCAAATGCTTACATGTTGACGAACGTGGTCAAAATCGGCCTCAGACGTACAGGTGCAACTTCCGATGCATACTGCGTTGTGAGGGTCTGAAACATGCCCCACGGGATCCCGCAGAAGACTTCGCCGATGACCAGAGTCTGAACATTAGGCGCAAAGAACAGGATAAAGATGAAAGCAGTCATCGATATCAGGGCACCTATCATGGTCTTCCGATACCCATACCGCTCGCTAACGAAGCCGTTGATGACAAGACCGATGACCTCGCCAGCTCGTGCTCCGTTGGATCTGACGCTATCAGCCAAAGCAAAACCTCGGGTAACGTTCCATTGATACTTACAGTGCGCTCTGCCAACTAGCTTGAACACTGTACTTGCCAGTAGCAGCATTGAGAACTCCGTACTTGCGATTGAACTGAGGGCTGCCGTACAAACTCCCCAGCAAGGCGAGATCGTAGCCTTCCATGATCAGAGCACTCGACAGAACGACTGACCAGCCAACGGCTTTTGGGTAAAGTCTGATCGCCTGAACGAGGCTCATAGATTTCTCATCGTCAGCTGCATGCTGCGCCTCCTCATTTGGCGCTGCGAGCTGTGTCGCCGTAAGTTGCTCAAAGTCCTTGTCTGTCATTGTCGCAATGAGTGGCAACTCGGGTGAAAGAGACTGGAAGCGATGCCATATGATTGAGGAGGCGTGACAGGCTTATAACCATCTCCGAGCACAGATGATCATGGTCAGAATAGGGTTGCCTTTGATGCGGGTTAGCGAGGGCCCAGCACCTCGGACCTCCCCATGGTGCCCCAGCTTTGGCATGGAAATCGCTCATACTACGCCCAAAATTACTCCTACAGCACCATAGAACGCCAATTTCTCGTGATTACGAGTTCTCTTGTTGCCGAATGATCGGAAACAACGCAGATGGCCTATGGTGGTTCGGCGAACCAGTAGATTTTCACGGAGCCAAGGCGGAGGCGATGCGGAGGCAACACGGAAGGAACACGGACGCCACATTGCGGGGCTAACACGACTCGCACCAGGGTGCCAACCGTTTACAAGCAGTCACCAAAACAGCGAATGAGAATTGACATCACAATGGACTGCATGACGATGATCATTGGGACGGAGTACAGACCAAAGTGTAGTTTTCTGGAGCCTGCAACGACTTCTCTCCTTCATCTCCCACTCCGTACAACAAGCGGTCATCCTCTTGCTACTGCCTGGCTTCCACCAGTAACTTCTCATCGATCCATGGATCATATCTGCTTACGAATAGCTTGCACCCACCAAGTCTCACAGTCACAGATATCCGAAGCTCAGTACACATAATTTGTCCGTCAACTATCATGTCACCACATGTGGACCTTTCTTACCACAAACGCATGTGGTGGAAGGAAGCAACATTCTATCAAATCTATCCGGCATCTTTCAAGGACAGTGATGGCGATGGCTGGGGAGATATCCCAGGTATACTTGAGAAGATCAGCTACATCGCGTCCCTTGGTGTAGATGTGGTATGGCTATCGCCCATGTTTGACTCACCGCAGATTGACATGGTAAGAATCATGATGTACGAATTATATGGACGGTCGCTGACCTCGTGCCTCAATATGTCAGGGCTACGATATTTCCGACTATGAAGGCGTATATGCACCGTACGGCACTGTCAAGGATGTGGAGAAACTCATCAAAGCCTGCCACGATAACGATATGAAGATCATCCTCGACCTAGTTGTAAACCATACAAGCGATCAGCACGCTTGGTTCCAGGAAAGCCAGAGTTCTAGAGATAATCCGAAAAGAGACTGGTACTTCTGGCAACCAGCACGCTACGATGAGCAAGGCAACCGCATGCCGCCCACCAACTACCGCTCATATTTCGCTGGTGGAACCTGGACTTGGGATGAGCACACGGAAGAGTACTACCTCCACCTATACGACAAGTCGCAACCAGACCTCAACTGGGAGAACAAAGACTGCCGGCAGGCGATATACGACTCAGCAATGCGCTTCTGGCTCAACAAAGGCATCGACGGCTTCCGCGTAGACACCGTAAACAAGTACTCCAAAGTGCTCCCCTTTACCAATGCGCCTATCACCGATCCAAGCAGCCCCATCCAACCTGCCGCCCAAATGTGGTGTAACGGGCCCCGCATCCACGAGTTCATCAAGGAAATGAACCGTACCGTCCTCTCCCACTACCGCACCTACGACAACCAACCCGTCGTAACAGTCGGCGAACTCTCCTTATGTCCAGACCCCTCCTCCGTCCTCCCCTACATCAGCGCCGCACAAAAAGAACTAGACATGGTTTTCCAATTCGACATCACGCATCTCGGCCAGGGCCCACCAGGCTCTGATAACAAGTACGATTACGCTACTTGGACACTACCAGAAATGAAGCGCATATCAGAGAAATGGCAATGCTTCATCGAAGGCACAGACGCGTGGACAACCGTCTTCAACGAAAACCACGACAACGGCCGCAGCATCTCCCGCTTCGCCAATGACGCACCCGAATGGCGAGTCGCAAGCGGGAAACTCCTCGCTTTGTGGCTAATTGGTCAATCAGGCAGTTTGTTCCTGTACCAAGGCCAGGAAATCGGTATGATCAACGCGCCGCCATCCTGGGATATAGAAAGCGAATACAAAGACGTCGAAAGCCAGAACTACTGGGCCGAAGCCGTGAGGCTGGCGGAGAACGGCACGGATCCTACGCGCAAAGAAAGGATTAAGAGGGGTTTACAGCGCATGGCTAGGGATCATGCGCGGTTGCCTTTTCAATGGGACGACAGTACCAATAGTGGGTTTTCGACGGGAAAGCCGTGGATGAGAGTGCACGATGAGTATGCCAATATCAATGCGGCGGCGCAGGAGAAGGATCAGAGCAGTGTGCTTTCATTTTACAAGCATGTGCTCAAGCTCAGAAAGGAACACAAGGACGTTTTCGTGTATGGGTCCTTTGAGTTGGTGGATCCGGAGGGCAAGGAATTGTTTGTTTATCGGAAGAGGTGTGAGGGGAAGACGGCGCTTGTTGTGTTGAATTTTACGACCGAGAAACGGGGGATGGCATGTGATGTTGAGGGGTTGAAGCTGCTTGTGAGTTCGTATGGAAAGGGGACGGGATTAGTACTACGACCGCTGGAAGGAAGGATATACACCGACTACTAAGAAAGTGAAGTCGAGTGTTCTTGCGAGAAAGTGTAGACGTTTGTCGATGCGCTATCAAGGGTATACTACAATGCAAAACTCGCACCACACGTTCCTCTCATTGTCCTACCCATCGTCCCACAATGGGAAGGTACTTGTACAACTCATCATACTCTTTGCCTACCCATCCCACCATCTTGCCGTCTCGTCCAACGACACCCAAACCGCCCGCTAGCCATAGCGCCGTCAGAACTGCGCTGATACCGTTGATAGTGTACCACCTCCTCTTCCGGATCAACGCTCTGTTCTCTTCCGTGTGTTTGACCTGGCTGGGCGCGAAACCCAACCATTTTGCTGCGCCCCAGACGAAATGCCACACGCCAACTCCCACCAGTGCTGTGAAACCGGTGAAGGAAACTGCAGGATGTAGTGCGAAGCCATGGGAAATATATTGCAAATTGATCAGCGACGAATCACCATGCGCATACAACGGAAGAATCCTCGTAGTCCAGATATGGAAACTAGCAAAAGGCACCAACGCATAACCCAACGCACTGGTTCCACTCAGTGCTGGCCAAGGAATCGTGCGCTTATCCGTTCGTGTCTCAGCACCGTATCTTTTCAGCGCTTGTCGCCTTCGCCATAGCCGTAGTGCGATTCCAGAGGTAACGTGTGCGACGAGGGGGAGGCCAACGAGGAGGGGTTCCGTGAGCGCAGATTGGTAGTATGGTCGTGTGAGCAGGAGGTAGCGGTTTGATTCGAGGACGGAGCGGGTGGCGAGCGGTATTATGGAGACGTTTGTTATGTGGAGGGCGGCGAAGGCGGTGAAGGTGTAGGAGGAGTACTTTTGTATGCGGAGGACTGTGGTGGAGTGGTGTCAGCATTGTAGCTTCATGGATGAGGGCTGTAGGAAGACGTACGCCACCAAGCAGGCCCGTGATCACCTAACCGCAATCCCAAAGTGTTCATCCTCCTTATGCCTCTCATCTCTTCCGTCTCTTTCTCAGGCCGCTCCTCATCCGGAACCGGGAAATATTGATTTACTTTCAACTCTTCTGGTGTGTCGACAGGCGAGGGGTCGACTTCGGTGAGGCCCATGACGCCCATCTCTTCGTCTTCTACCGGTGGTAGACCCGGACTCTTCTCCATTCTTGTGGGTCGTGTCGTGGTGTTGCGAGGTAAGGAGAATGCTACGTTGCTGAGACATGGAATGACGTTGATTCGGTGAAGATATAAGTGGGGCGCTGGCATGCTTGAGCCGAGGCGCGTGCTGTTGAGCCGCAACACCAATTGTTCTATCACCACGCGCGACTACGCGACGTCACGACTGAACGACCCCGGTACCTCACGATCCCACGAATCGCTCACGGAGCTGCTATCACTGGTGATATACCAACTCGCTCACATCCCTTCATCGCGGTACACCTCACATAAACGCGACCATGCCACCAGTACACTCTCCCCAGTCCTACCCTCACCCCACGCATGCATCACTAACACCCCTCCTAGCGAAACAACCCCCTCCCAGCGGCCGTCCGCCTCTTCAACTGCACAATCTGCGATAAAGGCTACCCACGGCAACTCGACTACGAAAACCACCTCCGCTCCTACGACCACAACCACCGCCAACGTCTCGCCGACATGAAGAAACTGACTGCCTCCAACGACACCGAGAGCAACAAACCGAAGCAGGGTCTGGAGATGCGGAGTATAGATGTGGAGAACGCGAATAAGAAGCCGGGGGTTGGGAGTCGGTTTACGAAGATTGGGGGTGGTGGGAATGCTGCGGCGGGGAGTAGGTTTAAGAAGGTTGGTGTTGCGGTTGGTGGGAAAGATGGGGTGGAGGAGAAGGCTGAGGTGGTGGTGGTGAAGACGGAGGATATGTCTGAGAAGAGTGTTGAAGTATCGGTGGCTGCTGCGATACCTGTTGCAGAGGCTGAGGTCAAGAAGGAAGAGGACACTGTCATGGCGGATGAGGAGAAGGCAGCCGAGATTACATGGGAGGAGTATGACTTCACAAAGCCAACCGGATGCAACCCTGCGAGCTGTTCTGGCTGTAAGACGGATGGCATCTGGAGCGGTGGCTGGATGGCTGTGGATGCTGTTTGAGAGACACGCGTTCATCGTTCTTATGTTGACATCGACACTTTTCTTATAATCATACCTGGAGTGGATCAAGCCCTAGTCGGGGCTTATCCACATTGCATAGCATCGGCGTTCAGGGAGTCAGTACTCAGTCTACGCTCACCATTTACCAGATATCTGTAAGTGTGTTCCCATCACCCTACAATTCATTCCCCTAAGGTCTTTATCATTCCTTTGAGACTCACATCACGACGGTTTTCATGTGGACCTAATCGCTGCCCCGACTGATCAGAAGAGCAGGCTTTATTTATAACTGCTGCTCGTCTATCCAATAGTCCAGCTCATCCCAGTTCCCGCCCACCCGCCTACCCGCCTACCCAGGGGCAACGGCACGAAAATAACATTTGTAACACCTGCGCCACATCCAACACACATTGATTGTCACGTTCACGAAACGCAGCCTTTAGGAGTGCGATGACGTCTTCTCGCGGCAATAATCTCAACACTCGATCGCGACCCACTTCGGTCAATTGCTGAAGATCGCTTAGTACACCGTCGGTTCAAGCAGTGTCATTCATGCTATTCACCGTGGTCGAGGAAGACATGTGTTGTCTAGAGTAGGGCAATGTTGAGGGTAATTGAAGATATACATTGACGCGCTCACACGCTCTTAGCGTGCGTTCTTAGTGCTGATTACTTCAACGAAACGCCGGAGACTGCAGCTATCAAAGGAGTCAAGTCGTGGTCGACGTTTATAGTAGTCTGGATGTGCGTGGGTGCATTCTCATCGCTCAATGGTATTTGTGATTCTAACATTTACTAGTCGTCTGACATGTCAGATTCAGTGAGGCGGCCTGCTTTCATCATGACCTCCAGAGAGCGGCATTTATCTCGTAAACTCCTCCATAATAGGCTCTCCAGGTCTAGTCAACACAGCGAACCAAGAATATTCCTACCGCTGCTCTGACTAACCAGTCATCTGCAGAGCTTCCCATCCGCTCTTTCACAATACCCAATATCCAAGGTCTGTCCATGTCGTGCCCTCACGTAGACTCATCGGTAAAGGCACAAACCGAATGATGTACTTGCCCTTGTGTCTGGCAAAGTGAGCACAAGGTTGGGAAGCATTAACGCATCTGTCATCCGCAGTGTCTTTGAAATCGCCGCCATGGCTGAAGAGCTGCCCAGTTCCACGCGAACCACGGACGACGAGGTTTCGAATGCACCAAGGTTTGTCTGGGTTATCGGTGTACCTTGCCGGCTTGGTAGTGCAAGTTGTGTAGTCATTTCTTCTGTTCTTGGTGGCCGACCACATTTCCTTGTAGCGTCGCATCAGCTCCGCTTGAACTGGTGTGGGAAGATCATCAAAGTCTTTCAAGACATTGCGTCCCGCCTCGGTGCGAAAGCGCAAGTACATCGCAAGGTCGTGCGGTTCGGGTTCTTCTTCCATCTGTCGCTGATTATCAGTCTCGGGCTCTGGATTCTGGTCGTCGCTAGTGAGGTCAATGGTCTCCCGCTCTTTCTTTACTACAACGTGCGCTGCGTCACTGTCAGCCTGTTGCTGTACAGCTGCATCGACCTTTGCTCGCTTTGACCCATTGGAGGTTTCCGCAGAGACAGCCCGCTTTTTGGGTACAGCAATCGATTCGACTGTTGGGCCTTCTTGATCTAGGGGCGGAGGATTATCGACAAGCGGTTGAGATTGCGGGACTGTCACTCGTCAGCTTAGGTCGGCATTATTACTAAAGACGGTAATGTTGAACATACCTGGGGCTTCATCTTGCTGGCGAAGAAGAAGTAGAAAGGCATCCCGGACTTTCTCGGGAGGCAGGTGCTCCACGATATTGCTGCGGTCTACTTCGCGCATCCCTTGCAGGGCCTTGAGTAGACCATCGGTTTGTGCTTTGACACTCATGCCGCCTTTTAGTCCAAGACGATCGAGCGTTCTTTCCGGCAAACCGGGGTATGGAAGTCGTGGACTGGAGAGGGAAGGTGAGAGCGCGTCTGTCTTGTGTCATGTTTCGAGCGTTTGTTGACGACTAGGCAATCTTGGCGCCAGACCCTCGGGGAAGGAGCGGTGGACCACTGGTCACCTCGCCAATGATACTGAGAACAACATCCTCACAACTGAAATTGTCATAATTCTGCTCCCTTTTCAGCCTTGAAGTTGTTACGTATACGCGAAGCTTTATGCCGTCGCGATACTTTCACTCTTCTAGCATCTGATCACTACATCTCTGGCTTCCAAGGTTAGATATGAGGAAGCTCATATATTAAGAGTAGCATCTCGACTTCTCTAAGTGCAAGGTCAACCATCCTTCTCCTCTCAGTGAGACCTCTGCGTGTTTTCAGCCTAATCCCAGACCCGAAATGTCAACCGAAGGTGATAAACCCAGCAGAAGCTCGCTCATAACCTTCCCACTCCCAAGCGACAGTGTCACACCGTCATCAAAATGAGCGGTGTTCAAAAACAACCCCCCAGGGCTATACCGCCCTTCCTGAACACCGTCCTCTTGCGTCGAAAAACGCGGCATACCCTGGGACCTATCATCCATACCCAGCAACTCCCAGTCCACCTTCGTAATAATCGGATGTCCAAACGTCGCAAGCGGTCTATAACACCTCCCCAGCGCAAACACATCCAACTCTTCATCCCCCGGCACTCTCAGATACCCCTTCACAACCGCCTTCATCCTCTCAATCTCACCCAGCTGCGCATGCACATCCTGCGCAAGCTCAGGAAGTTCTTCCTGTTCCGCTCCCCATCCACCCACATACAACTCACCGCCCGGAAAACTGGTGATGTCAAGACCCTGTCTACCCGGAACTTCGCTCTGAAAGAAGATTTGATGACTTCCCTTCTTGTCGTCCTCTGGTTTCCAGTTGGATGTGCGGATGCGGAAATGGTTTCCGGCTGAGGCTGTGGAGTTCATTGGGAGTTGGAGAGATGCGTTGGGGAAGAGTGTTGAGAAGACGTGTGGGGACCAGGGGCCTGCTGCTATGACTAGACTCTTGCAGGGGAGGTTGAGAGGATCGCTAGCTTGTTGCTTGATTTGGATGCTGGTGAAATGTTTCGCTCCTTGTGCGGTTTGAACTGATGTTGCGTTCGCGTTGAAGATGAACTGAACGCCTAGTTTCTTGCTCTCTTTGAAGAGAAAGTGGCAAAATTGAGCTGGATCACTTATCGGTTAGTTCAAGTTATCGTGATGGGGAGTTAGACATACAGATGCGATGCATGAGGGGGTCCAGCCATACGCTGCACTGACCAGTTACTCTTGGATTTGATCCAGTCAGGGAGCGCAGACACAGGCTGTTCAACGGGAAGACTTGGACCCCAAGTATCAGGCGGCTCAGGCGTACCCGTGAAGTTATCGGGTATGATGCGATAGATCGTAGACTCGCTAAAGCCGAACTCCTTCATTCCCTTCGTGACAGCAAGTTCCTGAAACATTTTGTAGGACAAAACGCCCAAATCAGCGACACCACTCGCGAAGCCGAAATCTCCAAGTCCGCCTGTCGCTTGACCAGAAGCAGCAGGACTGATATGCGCAGCTCGTTCGACGACGATGATCTTGCCAGGTGGCCTGGATGTCGCGTTGGCAGCCTCTTGATGAGCAAGAGCGAGCTGGTAGGCCGTCGCGAGGCCAATGACACCTGCACCCAGGATGACAGTATCAGCTCCCATCATCTCATCTTCTTGAAGAGTCAAAGGCTGCTGAGAGTTCGACCAGGTTGTGTCCGTAGTTGAAGAAGCCAGGGTGCGGGGCCGCCACAATGCAAGGAGAAGGAAGGAACTTATGAGATGCATGATAATATGCAGTGGTTCACCGAGTCGAGGTCAAGGTATTGCATTGAAGGGTCCGAAATCTTGCGATCGTCGATGCTAATTATAGTCCTTGTGTTGCGGGGAAATCTGTAATGGCGGTTGACGTACGCTCTTAGGTCTGAGCTCAAGCGGCCTGTTCACCGTTTGGCTTATGCTCAGTGGTCAGGACAGCGTTTGTGTAATGCACAAGATTCGGGTCTTCACTGTTGTCAGTGACATGTAGATATTCCTACTCTTCGTCATCCTTATCGCATACTATCATCCAAAGTCTATCTCAACTTGGTCGACTCGGCTCCATGACCCTTCTCACCTTCATGTACTCAGCATACACGAGATATCTCGCCCACGCTCAAACCCATCTACTTCCACTCCCAGCACTCCTCAACCATCCACTCAAAGTCCTGGAACTTGACAACCGCGCCCACACTCAGAATCTCAGGCCTGAAGGTAACGCCACAAGGCAAGAAGCCATCACCCACCCTCACAGCCCTGTTCCACTTCTCCACCTCTGACTTTCCGCCGTTCCCACCAACCTTCTCCTTTGCAGTCTTTCCCTCACCATCTTCCCACTCCCATCGCTCAACGGTCACTTTATCACCCCACATGAGAATGCCTTGGCAGTACTGTCCCAACCTCACGACCACACCTCTGACACCCGCGTGATCAGCCTGGCACCGCATAACCACACATACCATACTGCCTTTTTCATTCGTAGATACGGCGTCGACGTCCCTCCACATCTCCTCGTGGGTCTTGACAGCTCCAAGCGCGGGATGGTATCCGTGTCCATGCTCCAGCGTCAACCCGGGAGCGATGGGATACATGTCGCCCTCGTCAACAGGGATGTTCTTGTGGCCAACAGGGAAGCGTGAGTCCAGCCAGTGAGTCCAAGTAGTGTGTGTGACGTTGACCCAAGTTTCTTCCTTGAGCTTCTTGGCGGATTTCCCGTGCTGTGGGCCTGTGGGCGGAGGTGTGATGGGTACGCTGGTGGACGTGCCGGTGAAGGCCCAGTCTAGGTGTGCGGAGTTGCCTACGTTGGTACTCTCCTTGACGGGCGCGGGACAAGTGCTGTTGGAATTGACGGCGTCCTTGGAGAACGACTTGTAGATACGAACATCGACGAAGGTGTGGTTGGGGCTTGTGAGTACCAAAGTAGATGTAGGCTCGAACTGGTGAGACGGTAGATTCAGCGGGTTCTTGTGAGGGAGATGGATGGAGTAAGGGATCTCGGTGTTTGGTGGCAGAGGGTAAGGGAGGAAGTAGATGTACTCGCGCTTGCTAATGTTGGCGGCACTGGGGTCTTGAAGGACGGGCTTGGGACCGTGAGTTGTAGTGATGGTGAAGGAACCACCGCCATCGTCTGGCTGTGCAGGAGCTTGGAGAGAAGGTGAGGCTCCCTTGTTGTTTGCTGAGGATGCCATGACGTCGGTTTCGGTGCCGGAGTCTGGGGGCGTGTAGATGATGGGGCTGGTGTTGGTGCTTGATTGATCGCTGAGATCACACGCTTCTTCGTTTGCTTGTGCCGCGGCGGGGTGATTGTTGGCCTTGATCACCATTCTGGATTTGAGTCTGATTTCTTTTCGAGGGGGAAAGGTCAGAGAGACTAACAGTTACCGTGATGTTGAGATAGGCGTGAAAGCGAAAGAGACGTTGGGATCTGGGCAATGAGTCAACAACTGTAGGCTTTTACATAAACATCTCCCAAGTTTAAAAGATGTGAGGAGGATATAATGGCTGTCCACGGTGTACGTGGATGCCAATACAACACTAAGATGTATACGATGTGGGAGTTGAGCGCGCAGGAATTACCCTTGCGGGAGCGTGCCTGCTACAGGCTTACTGGGAACTGTTGGGTGGGCTTACCAAGTGAGTACTTGAAGACTTCGTAGCTGGTACCTTGCACGTTTTGCGTGGTGTTGTGGTGTTGTGACAGATACGGCGTGAGGTGGGGGAGCTCATAACAACAAGAACCGCGCTAGCGACGTCCGTTTGCGCAAGGTGATCATCAATACTAGAATTCGAGGTGAATGGCAATTTCATACCGGTCGTTCAAATGACACATCACGAATAATCCTATCGTACCCTACGGTAAAGAGTGGATACTGCTGGAAGAGACCGTAGAAGAAATGACGAAGAGATGAATGGGAGGCACGGCTTGCATTTGCAAAACTAGGTATCATTCACATGCTGTCATTTATTTGACAGACCTAACCATGACGCCGCCCATGCTGGGAAAGCCCACGCTGGGAATACCCATTGCCGAATCGTAATCCTGACTTTTGTATTGTCGTAAGCCATAGCAAAGAACCAAGCAGCTACTTCAGTGAATAGCTTATTTCTTCTTGGAGTCGGCCTCCTCGGCCTTAGCCTTCGCGCGCTTCTCACGGACACCGACAAGGCGGGCCTCGGAGCGGGCATCACGGAGCTTGCGGTAGGCGTTCTCAGTGGCCTCGTAGTTGCCGATGGGGCCCTCCTCGAGTTGGATGACGTTCTTGATGGGCAGAGCAGCGGCGGTGGACTGGACGAGGTTGTCGGCGCTCTTGGCGGCCTTGACGTCCTCGGCGGAAGCGTCACCAGACTTGGTCTTGCCATTGCGGCGGGGGAAGAGGATAAGGCGCTTGCGGTACTCCTGGAGGCGCTCGACGTTGGCCTTGAGGCCCTCCTCGGAGAGGTTCTGGCGGCGGGGGTCGACAGAGATACCGATGGTGCGGGCGAACTTGCGGGGGATACCGGCGGCTGCTATGTGTTAGGAGCGCTTTGCGCGATTGGGTAAAGCAACATACCCTTCAGCTCAGCAAGAGAGAAACCACGGCCGGGGCGGACACGGCGGTTGTACTTGATGGTAGGGCAGCGGACGACGGGCCTGAGCTTGTCGACGGGCCTGGGGGCTACCTTCGCAGCCTTGGCAACGCGAGCATTGCGTCTGGACTTCTTCTTGCCAGGCTATCGTACTGTCAGAAATCTGAACACAGGCGCCACTACTCTCAGCGACATGAGAGGGGAATTACCTGGTCGAAGTGGCAGCGGACGTAGCGTTGCCTGGAGAATGTTAGCCCAATGTCATCAGCGTGTCCAGTCTCCTAATCGCAAACTCACCAGTCCTTGTGGAAATGATTCTTCTGAATCTGCTGGTTGTGCTTGATCGCCATTGTGTCGGATTGTCTGCCCTAATCAGCCTTCGTCCTTCGCTCGTGGAGGTGTGTGGGAGCGCGCAGTGTCGACGGCGATTTCGATTTGATTGCGCTCGTTCGATTGCGCACTCCGGCGATGGTAGACGTACCTCGATGGCTGACCTGTGGGTTAGTTATCGTACGGCTGTCGAGGAAGAAATCTCGAAGTTCGCTCGCCAATTTCGACAGCCTTCCTAGCGCCAGTGGGCCAACCGAGCTTTCGGCGGCACGTTTTGCCGACGCCGACACTAGCGTGATGGATCGGCTTGCGCTGCAACACCCATGACGACCCGCTGCTGGAACACAGTTTTCTGTCGCGAAAGTTACCGTGGTGTCCTGGTCGATTGAGTGTGGTTACTTTGAGCATACTCATCATTCTTATCGCTGTACTGGGTGCTTCACTCCTTCAACGATGATGAGAAACTTGATCACTCCGATACAATTGACTGGGAACGGTTGTTTTGGAAGTATCGCGACATCCATTCGAAATAAACTGAACACAATAATCTAAACATCCCTATAGTACTCCCCTGTAGTGAGCACACAATGTACACGAAGACATTACAAAACGCTAAAATGTATCCAAAAAGAAGTGAAACCGCACAAGTGCCTTCTAAACAAGACCCGGCACCACGAGAACCTTCAAACCACCACCCTAATAAGAAGAATCAAGAATCAAAAGCCACCGTCATCGGCATCGAAGAACTCGGTGTTAGAACTCTGCGCACTCGTCCAACTCTCCCTGGGAATCTTGTCTCTGAGCCAGGTTAGAACAGCGTCAGTGCCCTTCTGCAGCACCTGTCGGTTAGGTACCCTGAACTTGTTGCCTTCCACTTCAAAGCCTGTCAGGGTGCCCTGCAGCAACCCGATCCGCGGTTCCAGACGCTCGATATCGTTGTTGCCCAGGTTCACGATCCTAAGATTGTGCAAGCTTTCGGGCGAGACCTCGGAGATCCTGTTGTCGGATGCGAGAAGGGTGGTGAGCGCGGGAAAGGCTACATGAAGCGTTGGAAGAGCGCCGGCGAGACGGTTGATCGATACGTCCAGCGTTACGAGGAGAGGCGCAGTGAGGTATGTTGTCAGATGCGTCAGAGAGTTGATCTTGTTGCTGGCAAGACGGAGATCGCGTAGCTGAGGAAGTTCGATGGGCGCTGACAGAGGTACTTCGATGCTGTTCCTAGACAGATCGAGTAATGTCAAGTGTTCAAACTGCGCCGCGATGGACGGAATGATCTCGAACTTGTTGCGCTGCAGATGCAATTGACGCAGGCCATTGACCATCACATCCATGGTGACTTCATCCATCTCTAGTTCGGACATACTCTTGTCCGCGAGGTCTAGTGTGCCTGAGGGTGTAAGTTGCCACTTCGGCTGAGCCTCTTCCGTGACACCATTCTCGAATTCGTCATCCACGTCGGCCGACACCTCAGCTGGTAGTCGCGATGCCAGATCGCGCTTGATATCATCGGTGCCCATAGTAAGAAATTTACGATCGCGCAACGGGTTAGCTGCAACGGTGAGATGTTCTAGATGTTCCATCAAAGCAATCTTCTCATCAAGCTGAGTGATATCGTTGCCCGTGAAGTCTGCAGTACGTAGTTGTTGAAGCGTCACGAAACCCTCTGGTAAGGTTAAGAGTTTGTTCTCGCCGACTAGCAGCGTCGTCATACTGATCCAGGTCGAAACTTCAGGGAACGACGTAAGTCTGTTCGTGGAGACATTGAGCGTCTTGAGAGCAGGCAACTCAACCGCATCGCCATGACACAGAGACGTGAGAGAGTTTTGTGAGACGTTGAGTTCCTGTAGATGAGGAACTGAGCTCAGGCTGAGGAGTGTACCCTCCAGACGGTTCTTCGACGCTTGAAGCTCGACAAGGGTTGCAGAAAAGACTTCGCTAGGAAGGGATCGGAGCTGGTTGTCTGACACATTAAGTGTCCGCAACTGCGCCAAACGCTGCATGTCTGCCGGTATGCTTGTCAACTTGTTCGATTGCAGCTCGAGGACCTCTAATGCTGTGAGATCGCATATCGCCGATGAGAGGTCTCCGTTGAGATCATTTTCTGCCAGCTTCAACTCCCTCAAGGTGGGAATCTGAGCGATGACGTCCAACATCTCCATAGGCAACTTGTTCCGCGACTAGGCAATGTTAGCTACAGGATCTGGTAGATTTTACTGATAGTGCGACTTACAAGGTTCAACTTCGAGAGCTGCGTAAGTCGTCTCAGGCCTACGGGCAACTCTCGCAACATGTTGCCGTGGAAGTCGATGCTCTGCACACCTCCAAATTGAGGTCCGGCCTCATCCGAATCAATCATGTCTTCAACTGATACATCAGGGAACATGCTGTCGGGAAGAATCTCAAGCTCGTTGTCTGCAGCCAGAATAGTAGACAAGTCTACTACCTCGCCCCAGGCCACCTTGGTATCGTTGGGGTCGTAAATGTACATGGAAAGTACGTCGTCAGGAATCTCCTTCAGTCCCATCGCAGCGATGTTGAGGCGACCATCTGATCGGGCGGTATCGATACGTCTGCGCAGTACAGACTTGCCACCCTTGGGGCGCTGGTTGAAGGGATCGTCATCGAGACCAAAGTCAAAGGTCGCAATCTCGGCAGGATCGGGCACGATAACATCGGTCGGTGGAGTGCTGTTCCTCACCGGCTCAGCCTTTGCCTGCTTCGCAGCTGCCCTAGCCTTTGCGATCTGTTCTCTCAGGGCATTGGACGAGCTGGCAGGTTTCGGCGGGGCCTCAGCTGGTGCTTCTTCGACGTCTGCCTTCTTCGCCGCTCTTGCTTTCGCAATTTGATCGCGCAGGGCAGTTGAAGAGCTTGGAACCTTTCGGACGGTATCAGGTGTCTTCTTGACCGGAGTATCTCGGGCTGGTGAGGATGTAGCAGTGCCGGGCGGTGATATCGCCTGACCGAAAACGTTGTTCAGGGACGGCCGAGATCGGGGTGTTCGCATGCCCGTGAGACTCTTGCTATTCGTCAGCGGACGCGGTTTAGGTGTGTTCTGTAGGTTTTGTGTCGGAGCCAATGGTTGCTTCTTGACAGTCGACATAGGCTGTAGCATCGAAGTACGCCTACTCGGTGTTGCAGCTGGTGTGCTAACATTTGCACTAACGCTTCTCTTGCCAGGTGCAGTCATAGACAGCCTGTTAGAAGGAGCACCGAATCGCTTGGGTGTAGCTGGTATTGGGTGCGGGGCACCATCACTCGTGGATGGCCTGCTGCCGTTGCTGTTCGACATGGCGGATCCGGGTCGCACCGGAGGGGCCATGCTGTTGTCGGCATTGAAGAAGCTCGATCTACGTCTTCCCTTGCCGGGTGCTGGCGAGGATGGCAGGTTGGACAGAGTCTCTGCCGTCCGTTCTGAGAGCGATGGGCGGCCCTTCCTCTTCTCCGGCTTCACAGGACTGATTGGACTGGACAGATCGTCGATAGCTGAGTCCGCATGTTCCGGTTCGGGGTCGTTGTCACGGAATCCGGCTCTCGAGCTTGCCCGCGAGGATGCCCTCGAGGCTGACCTAAAGCCCTCTAGGCTTCCCAGTGTATCATCTTCCTTGGCGGGAGCGATCGAGGATGAGCGCGATGCATTCGTCTGACGTGACGGTGGACGGGCAAATGGCCGCTTGAAGACGGGCGCATCGCTGGTACTCGAGGCGGCGGTCGAGGTCCGCCTTGAGCCGAAGTTGGGAATGCCGCTCGCCCTGCGGTTCGACGAGGGCGCGATGGATGAGCGTTTGGAGGCTGTATTGTCGGGTATAGGGCTCGAGGCCGTCAGGGGGTTGCTGGAGTAAGCAAGGGATGCTCTCGACGTCTTCTTCTGCAGCGTCGACGTGGTCGGGCGCGATATGGACGACAGCGACGGCTTCTTGCGCAATTGTTCCGTCGAGGCAGGCGCGCGCAGCTGGGAATGGCTGTTGGACGGCCTGAGCACAGGGAGTCGCGAAGCCGGTGCCGGCCGTGGGATCCCAGACGGGCGCGGAATGGACGAGGACTGGTCCATGGTGATGCTGTCAGACAGCGCGCTATACGATGCAACGCCTAAGGGTTGGGAAGTCGTTCATGCAAGACGGCACAGGCGAAACACACGTCCAACCAGATTAAGGGTCCTCCACTTGTCGCCAGGTTGCTTTTCGAGAACCAATTCTCCGCGCCGGGTGCAGGCGGGCGTCTGAGCGAGCGGGAGGCGACCGTTGCCCCGTGAAACCAAAGGGAGAGCCATGTTTCTGTTGCGCTGACAGGTCGGGCCTAGCGCCGGTTTGTATTGAGCAGGGACGCCCGGCGGGTCCTTCCTCAACCTCGCTCCACGCGCCTTCCGCACCGACGACATCGTCACCCACACACCCAACACACCCGTTACGAGCGCCCTGTCTTCTGCAAACACCTGTTCGCTGCCGTTTGCACGCTATCACGGTCGCATAACCCCCGCGACTTCTTTTTGGCAAACGCGCATCGACGCGCACCCCTGCACCCACCGTATCGTATTCGTCACCTCCACCGCGTCGCCCACCACGCCAGCTCCCCCAGCTCTTTGACACCTCTCCCCCCGCGTGTCACAGTTGGACTGGACAAAGCGCAATTCTGCTCGACCAAACACCGCCTCCATATCTTCCTGACGTGTGTCGCGCTGCTTGGGCCAATTGCGCCTGAGGCAGAATGGAGTCCCACGGAACGCAGTACCAGGACTCGCTGATGCCTACGACTGAGCACGCACAACCCGAAACACCACCCAAGCTTTGTTCGCCATCGCCCGCTGAGTCGGCAGCGCTCGCAATGTCAAAACTTGCATCCCCAGACCACAAGTTTACCTCCCCCGCACCCCGGACTACCTCTTCCATGACCCCTCCACCCTCTTCTCAAATCCCAAACACTCGTGCAGTCATGAGGACGCCTACTCCCCCGACTCCACAGCTCACGTCTCCCCCACCAACCAGCAAACTGCCCAATCAGCCGTCTGCTTTGACAGACATGGGTG